AGCTCGCAGTGTCCGAATATACGGAACTGCGAGCAGACCTCCACGGGCTGATGATGCAAAGGTAGCCTGGGAGGAGGTCACCACAATTGTAAATCAATGTTGCGTTTCTCTCGTGCGCGCGCGCTCTCTCTTTCTCTCTCGCAGTCTCACTCTGTTTCTTTTCTTTTGACTTTTCTAAGATGACAGATGCTGAATATATACTCCCTATCTGATGCTGTGGCTGTTTGTGGTTGGCTGAGAGGGATGTGAACTCATTAGTTTAAAGGCTGTGTTAATCAAATCAGGTTGGGTTTCCATTACGTGTGCCAAATATGCCAAACGTGCCAAACGGTGCCAATCCCCTTTGATCTGACATCAGATGTGACGGGACAGTCGATATAGAGATACATTTATGTGCTGATTGCAGATAGTTGCATTGAATAGTGGGTTTTGTTGGTATTTATTGCATCGTTAATGTGCCTGATATTCTGGAAACCTGCCTGTGAGGTTTTGGTGACGTGTGCGCACTGTCCGCCGGTCAGCCAAACTGCCACTACACTGGCTGCGCTCCGTCTGCACTGACAGTAGACCTGGTTTCAGCTAGCAAGCTTTTAGCGCACCTTCGGCGAAGCCTTTTGGCACGAAACTGTCACTGCTCCAAGCTGGATCTGTCGACACCTTTCCCTGCTGCTCCTCCACACCCATCTCAGCGCACCTCGGTCTGCCAAACTACCAAACTGAGCGCGCCTCGGGTTGTGCTACTCGAAACTAGCTCTGCGCGGGGTTCGCCACCCTGCACCGCGCCGGGAAACTAGAGGCCCATATGTGTGCTAGTGTAGGGCAACTATTCCCAAATGTAGATAGGCATTGTTTTCATTGAATTCATTTTGTTTTGGCCTAAGAAGGGACAATGATATATGACATGAATTTAACTATCAGAATAAACTGTTTAATATGAATAATTATATCTCACTGCATTTATTTATCTAATGATCTGAATGTTGTGGCCATTCTAAAATATTTGTGACAAAGTACAGTCTACAGTTTCCTTTTGCTCCTGGGGCGGGAGTAGCTCAGTCCATATGGACTTCAGGGTCACCAGCTCAAGTCCCCTGTCCAGAACAAAGAAATATGGAGTATGGACTGGTAGCTGGAGAGGTGCTAGTTCATCTGCTGAGCGCTGTTGAGGAGCCCTTGAGCAAGGCACCAAGCCCCCAACTGCTCGGCGCATCTGTTCATGGGCAGCCCCCTCACTCTGACATCCCTCCTTTAAATGCATGTATAGGTCCTGTTTGTGCATGTGTGCACAAATTTCCCCTTGGGAATTAATGAAGTATATCTCCTTCTTCTTCTGCTTCTTCTTATGTCAGTGTACCTTGTTTTCACAGAGTCTCAGTACACTGCTGTGCATTTTGTTGTGTGCTGCTGGTAGGCTACTTTTATTGAACAGTACAGCCTCATGCTGGGTTCACACTGGATGTGACCCACTTATGTTGGCACCCATGTTAACCAATTGGGCTGTTCACATAGGGCAGGGCCGGCTTGCGATTGCAGCGATAGTTTGGGCGCCTGGTTTATTTTCTCTGAAAGACATGAGCGAGCCATGAGCAAACTATACTATACCATACCATGTATATTATATAAATGATGATGATGACCGTAAGTGCTAATATCATAGGCAACTGGACTTGCTTGCGTTTCTTGAAGACGTTTCGCCTCTCATCCAAGAAGCTTCTTCAGTTCTAAATGACTGGTACGAAGTTGCAAGCTATAAACCATGTGTGGGTGGGAACCCTTGCAGAGTCGTAGGGGTCACGTGAGCTCTTAGTTTCAGAGTCGTTAAGGTCACATTGTGAGTCTTTGACCCACCTGGCTTACGACACCACTTATTCCCCACCTACAATGCAGTCTTGGGATCCCTCCCCAGACGACTTCACACCCATTCACCCCTGGTCCCACCTGACCCTAACGACTCACATGGTGGCCAGGTGGGTCAATGACTCACATTGTGACCTTAACGACTCTGAAACTAAGAGCTCACGCGACCCCTACGACTCTGCAAGGGTTCCCACCCACACAGGGTTTATAGCCTGCGACTTCGTACCAGTCATTTAGAACTGAAGAAGCTTCTTGAATGAGAGGCAAAACGTCTTCAAGAAACGCAAGCAAGTCCAGTTGCCTACAATATTAGCACTTACGGGCCTGTTGTTACCATGACCTGGATGACTGAGAATCTTCACCGACAAGATGATGATGACAAAACTTCCAGTACAATATCTCACTATGCTGACTCCTCTTGCTCACCTTTCTGCAGGGTTTGGAGGAGACCTCAAAGGAGGCCTTAAAAGCTCTCCTCTGCTGGGTGGTGAGGATGGTGCGTGGTCGTTTGGGTCGGTGAGGGTCCTTGCTGTCATTGCTGCCTTTCCCTGCTGCAGGGCACTTCTCTGACTTCACATCCAGATCCTCATCCTCACTCTTACCTGTCACCAGACAGAAAGAAACAAATACACATCTTTTATTTTAATGCAGATTTGACTTGACTGCAGGTTTCTCTCGAACTGCAAGGCAAGGCACAATTCAACTGCAATGATGCAAATGAGAATCAGTCTTTTATTTGTTGGATATGATTTCAAATTCACTGGGTTTGTAATAGCCTACAATAGAATCCCTAGTGTTACCTGACTCTGAGTTGTCTGGACTGACTGTGCTGAGCAGGTCCCTCTCCCTCTCATAGTCACTCTTGCACAGCAGCTGACCTTCTTTCAGAACAAACTTGTCTCCTTTGCAAAGCTGGCGTTTGCAGATGCAGCAGCAGAAGCAGCTGAGATGGTAAACACTCTGCAGAGCTCGCATTACAAACTCTGTGGGTGCTATCTTCTCCAGACACATGGTGCACTTGGTGGCAAACAACCTGAGGACAAAGGAGAGACAGGAGTGTTAACCGTGAAGGAAGTATGGTGGGGGGAGTGTTCAACAACCCAAGCATACACAACAGGAGTGACATGTCTTTACCAATATTTGGGAGGACAGAATTGCCCCTACTACTTGTTTAGCAAACTTGTTATGTTTGGAGTGAAGTCATAATTGCGATGTGCCCTCTCTGAGGCTTCTTCTCAAAGATGATCATTTATGGCATGTTTGCATTAGACTGAAAGGGAGGGGTTAATCTGAAGGCTCACATAATGTACAAATCAATCAGTCATTTATTATTTCATTCATACATTTTCAATCATTTTCCGTAACCACTTATCCTGTTTGGGGTCGCGGGGGGCTGGAGCCTATCCCAACTGACATTAGGCAAGAGGCAGGGTACAACCTTGACAGGTTGCCAGACTATTACAGGACTGACACATAAAGACAGACAACCATTCATGCTCACATTCACACCTACGGCCAATTTAGAGTCACCAATTAAGCTGCATGTCTTTGGACTGTGGGAGGAATTTGGAGTACCTGGAGAAAACCTACACTAACACAGGGAGAACATGCAGACTCCACACTAAAGGGCTTCTCCACCATGGGTTCAAACCAGGAACCTCTCTTGCTGTCAGGCGACAGGAACCTTCTTGCTGTCAGGCGACAGTGCTGACCACTGCACTGACGCGCCACCCCCCATTTATTTATTGGTCATATGGAATCATACAAGGTACATCTCCATTGAAATGTGATTCTGTCAGCTCCTTCAATTTGTGCATTGTGATTTAGTCCTTTTGCAGATTGTAGGCTACTGCTTTACAATTGTCCATGTTTCCAGACTGGCTGTATCCCGCATGTTAATGACATTCTGGATGGTTTTGGTAAACCATGGTTTCTGGTTGTGAAATTATTTAACTGTAGTTTGGGGCTCAGTTGCTTCTGTTGTCTAACACATTAAATCCACCACAGACTCAGTAAATTGATGGATGTTGTTGGTGTCACTGGGAGGATGCATCGTTGTTTGTTTATATATCTAAACCTCAAGATGGCCAGGGGCCTGTTGTTCGAAAGTAGAATTAATCAATCCAGGATAAGTGGAAAAGTGAGGCTGGACAAATTCCCCTAAGTCCATCCTGGCTTAATTGGTTGTTCGAACACCAAGCCAGACTGAGGAGGCGCGGCTTTGTCAAGCCAGGTGTAACTTATTCAGGAGAGTGCGTGTCCACGGCTTTCTTAAATAGACCCCGAAATCAATCACAGACTCACCTATGCAGCAATGGAGAGGGCACGTGCCGCATACTTCTCACCCAGTGAGCAGCGTCTCATCATGGACACTTATGAAGAGGTAAAACATATAATCACAAAGAAAGGAAACACTGCAGTGATAATAAAGCAGAGAGAGAGTGTGTGGCAAACAATTGCGGACCGACTGAATGCATAAGTAATCTAAAAATATACATGTGCTGCGCAAATGAATGTCATAATTACAATTAAAGTTCCTTCCACAAATTAACAGTTGTACACTTTGCCTTAAAGGTGAGCAGTGGAAGTTAAGCAACTGCTGATTTCACACCAGCAGAAGAGCTCGCCCTGGATCAGAACCGAGGCAGGCCGATGATGGAGGAGGGAGGGGGGGGGGGACCGTCCTCTTCATACAAGGTACATTATTCCAGTATACTGTACATGGAATCAATCATTTTATTCATTCATTAATCAACCATTGGTGTTATGTGGACTGTCTGACTTTGGATTGTCTTGCAGTGTAAGACAAATTGACAAATTAAAAGAAAAACCTTAAGGAAACTGGACTTAGAAATTAAGAAACTAGAGAAAGAAGTAAGTGACTTTAATGCACATTGTAAGCATGACTGTGATGCAATGTATTAATCAATATTATTTCTCTCTTTCTCTCCACAGCTCAAAGCAGACAGTGACTGATTACAGTATTTTTCATTTAAATAAAATGAAGTCAAAGAATATTGTGGTTTCATCTTCATGTTTTCATTCATTGATGTAAAGTACTACACTGGAGTTATTGGTCGAGTTAATTGGGAATATAATTTGGGAAGGTCATACAGTTATGATACCTAATAACCACTAATTGTGTTAATGCCAAATACACATACTTGTATGTTTATTCCAACAGTTAATCCTTTTATTGATAAGGATATGTGCATGCCAAAGTATGTTTGGGCTGTGACAAAAATAATGTTTTAAATGTTAAATGTTTTTTTTTATTATTGTAGGCTTAATGTATTTTGTTCAAAAATGAGGCAAATACGTACATAAGAACATGAAATGACGGTAAAACACATTGATTTCCGATCGCAGTGACAGCTGACTGGACAGATAAGGCACCAGACTAAATTAAGCCCGGTTGTTAGCCTGGTTGGGACCAGGCTAAGTGCACAGAATAAATATCAAAGACACGCATCAGTTCCCTAGAGGACAAACAATCCACTGACAAGAAAGCCACTGATGAATGCTCTTCGGAGGTAAAAACTTTAGGAGCCAAAGTGTCCCACCTGGAATCACAGAGCAGGAGAAACAACGTGATCATTGTGAGCGTGAAGGAGGGCCTACTGGAGAGCGGCAATCCAGAGGAAGAAGTGTCAGCGATCCTCTACTACATTCTGGACTGGGATGACATGGACCCAGTGCCAGAGGTGGACAGGCACCGTCGGTCCCTCCGGCCCCACCCGGGTCCAGAAGAACCACCAAGACCATACATTGTCTGGCTACTACGATGGAACGACCGACAACTCATTCTGAGAGCTGCAGCAGAAAAGGGGAAGAGGTTGGCAGCGAAAGGAAAAAAGTTGGAATGGAAGAATAAACACCTTTGAGTGTTTCAAGATCATCCACCGGAGATCCAAAAAAGACGCTCTGAGTATGCCGACATCACAAACAAGCTGCGCAGAGCTGGGCTCCGCTATGGCCTGCTATTCCCAGCGAGACTCATTGTCACTGTGGATAAGGAAAAGTTGCTGACTCTGACTCTCCCCTCCGCTATCACACAACAGATCCCCACGGCCCCCCCCTATAAATTTGCTGGCCACCCCACTCGCCAGTGGGGACCAGGTGTTAGTGACTACCCATAACTCCGACTACCCGCTAATCTGACCATGCAGGTCTACAGCGAGTTTTATCGTTTTAGTCCCATAATGTCGACTGCCCATTAATCCAACCATTTTAATGCCATTATTCCGGCCGTCAGATTTCATACCCAGTACTCCGACCGCCAGTTAGTCCAACCACAGCACTTCCAACATGAAGCACTCTGTGCATTTCTCCCTCACTACACCGGCATGGACTGTGAGGACAGTTGCGTTTATCTCATCAACGAGAAATCACATCCATCTGCTATATGTGACATACATGCCCTTATTTGGATAACACATCCTGGTATTCCCCACACATACTGTAAAGCCTATTGACAGCTAATGCGCTCTGGCTGCAGATGTATATTAAGCATTGATCCGTTCTTGCAGCACATCTACAGAAAGTATTTTGTTAGAGACAAACCATCCGTCTGTCATCTCACCTGTACTAACGTTTGGCCTGCCTTGACCAGCGAATTCATCAGCTTGTAACAATTCGCCAACAACAGAAACTGAGGCTTATGTCACAACGCTACTTTTACAGGTCACGGGAGGCACAGGTTCACAGTGCCAAGCTGAAACCCCCGATATAACATGAAACCCCCAAAAAACTTAACTCTTTTTGCTTTCAAAATGCAGCAATAAATTGGATAAAACGAAAAGGACTCAACAACTTTAGTGTAATTACATTAAATCAAATTCAAATTAACACGCGTCCAGCTCGGATGCTTCACTCAATTAACACGTCACGCCGATACAGAAAACAAACAGCCCCCACTGTGCATTTACTGCTTGTTTATTAATTCCAGTCACGTTTTATGTGTGTGAGATCCTGCTTGTGTGTGCGTGCACCTTGAATATCATATGTGAGGCTATTTCACAACTAAAATGGTGGTGAAAATATTTAACTTTGCTAGACAGTATTTCTCTAAGCCATTCATTAAAAGGAAATAATTTATTTCCTGTGGAAAGAAGACAACATAATGTGGAATTATAGGTTAAACAATCTTTGCTTCCTTTAATTTATTTAATTTAGTTTGTATAACAGTAGTAGCCTAATGGTAGCTGCAGCAGCACCAGCGTTAGTTGCCAACAGCTGTCTTGTTTTTATTTCTTTATTACCTCCACCAAGGAGGTTATGTTTTCGCCGTCATTGGTCTGTTTGTTTGTTTGTTTGTCTACAAAATAACTCAAAAAGTTTTGAATGGATTTTGATGAAATTTTCAGGAAAGGTAGATAATGGGACAAGGAACAGATGATAAAATTTTGGTGGTGATCGGTTGAAGCGAAGTGGATAAAATAATAAAACGGCGGGAAATCCGAGCTGCTTGGCAGAGGTCTGCGCTCTCCAAGTGCTTTTCTAGTTTCAGATATGCGACGTCATTTGGCCATGGTGATCGCTGCTTGCTGTTGGTTTGCAGGACTTCTGTTTTTCTGCTGATGTTGTGTTTTTTTATCTATGTACACTGTCTTGGTTCATCATGTCAGAGGTAGTGAGTTTTGGAGTATAGACATTTGTTTGTTTTTGCATCTTCAGCACCAGCATTTTTGGGAGGTCGGACTAACGGGATTCAAATACTAGGTCAGACCTTTGGGATTTTTTTCTTGTAAATCTAATTCTTTTTGTATTACATTAAGCAAAGATATGAGAGTTTGTTACAAATACTGTATAGTCTGGTAATCAGAATCAGAGACTATTGATCCCTGGTGGGAATTTTTTTTTGTAACTGTAATATTTTTTTTGTATTACATGAAGCAAAGATATGAGTGTTTGTTAAACATACTGTATAGCCTGGTAATCAGAATCAGAGACTATTGATCCCTGGTGGGAATTTTTTTTGTAACTGTAATAACTTTTTTGGTATTACATTAAGCAATGTTTGTTAAACATACT